TTAAACTATATTTTAAATAGTCAAATTAATCTATATTTTAAATAGTCAAATTAATCTATGTGCTAAATAGTCAAATTAATCTATGTTCTAAATAGTCAAATTAAACTATGTTCTAAATAGTCAACCAAAAGAACATAATTTACAAGAATCTTACTTAGGTTTTGTTTTTGGACAGATTAAGATGTATTTTCTTGAGTAACTCGTGATTTGAGTTCACATTTTCTACTTTTTTTAGTTATTCAAAATATGTTAAGGCAAAATTCAATACTTTGTAATGATAATATAGTTTACTTTGTACTTGGTTTGAATGCTTTTTCTTAATTATTTATTTTAAAATGTTTAGTTATTATACCAAAATAGCTTAGTCATAAGTGTAATCTACCACACACACACACACACACCTTTTCGGAACGACCCTAAATTCAGTTGCTCGAAGTCTTCATCACATGAGGACGACATCCCATTCACTAACGCTCTCTGGCGGAAATTTCTGATAGCTCGAGCGTATGAAGTGTCGTCAGATTCTACGGGAACGTCTTGCTCTTTACGTGATAGATCTTTCGGTGAGCTGGTTGATTCACTACTGCATTCAGAGTCAGAATCCATATGTTTAATGGTTTGGCCAACGTTTTGTGTTACCGAAAGGGGGTGCATTTCCGTAATTGTAGTTATATCATTTTCTTTAAACGTTATTTTTCTGACTTCATTTTGGTGATTGCAGTATCTTTGTTTAGTTTCCTCTGTAGGTGCCGTAATTTTTCCGTGGGAATTACTGAAATTCACAATAAAAGTTAAAAGTTATAGAACGGTTGGTGTTAAAGGAAGTACAAGAAACAACAATAACAGAAACACTACCTAGGTAATGTAACGTTGTATTGGTTAAACTTTCAACTAGTAGTTTTATCAATTACATATTCCTACAATGAACGACATGCTTTTACATTAGAAAGATTACTGCATTAGAATGCAAGTTGAAATTTTCAAATGTTTTAACTAGTTTTATGTTACCTTAATATAGAATTCTGCGACAAGTCCTCCTTGATGTACTGGAATGTTGGACTACAAGAATTCTCTTCTTTAATCAAGCAAGGTCTCACCACTGAAACACAAAAAAATGAATATATAGAATCTCCTCATAACTTTTTAGTTACATAATGTCTGACCAGGGAGTTAGCAGTTACGAAAGCTTTATAATCACCACAATGCAGTAAAACATACCATTGTTGCGTCAGCGAGGTCACGTGACTAGTATCACGCCACCTCCTTCTAGAAATATCCTGTTCCTTCGTGAATTGTCGGGAGACTACTAGATTGGGGGTAGTCTGGTATATATAAGACGGTCACAACGTGACGGGGGAAGATAATGAGTAATTGAATGTATGCGGACAGAATATTGTTGGCCACGTGAGACGTTCGTTGTGAGTTCTATATAGCGTTTGTTATAGAGCGACTGTTGAAATTAAGTGTATGTAAAGTTGTACTCGGAAAGAATAAACCAGTTTTATTTAAGAAAGGACTTGTGTCGCTAAAGTTTCGTCGGAACGAATTTAACGGAAAATTAACTAACGAAAGGAGACGTAACACCATTTTAGTAACCACTGGTTTATTTCCTTAATTAAATACAAGCACGATACCAGCTTTGTTTAAATAAGCCTAGCTCTACAATTCAAATAACATACCAAATTAATTACACAAGTTGTCTGATCACTACAAAACGATATACTAGCCTCGTTACAATAGGTCTAGCTATAGAATTTAAGAAACATGCCATATTCATTACACGAGTTGTCTGATCACTACAAAACAACATACCAACGTCTATACAATAGGCCTAGTTCTAGAATTTAAGAAACATGCCACATTCATTACACGAGTTGTCTGATCACTACAAAACAATATACTGTTACGTATCTGCTTGTTTAATAATTTCCGGTAAAAATTCTTTCCGAGTGACTTCCCTTCTTGATTAAAACTAGTTTATTCTTTCTCGTTACAAACTTGTAATACACTTAATTTCCACAGTCACTTTAACTTAAACACACGCTACAATTCACAACAATTCACGCACTTTTCTTACGGTCACTACCGCTCGCTCGACTCAATTATCTGTCTCTATATCCGTCTATCTACAATTATTTTTTCCGGGCTTATATGCTAAAATAGAGGGCGCCTAGAATAGACTAGAGTTGCCAGGAAAAGTCAAGATCCTTCGAGAATCTCATGACGTGTTACTAGTGTCACGTGAGTTCCGATGTCGTAACAATACCAACTTCGATACAATAGGCCTAGCTCTAGAATTTAAGAAACATGCCACATTCATTACACGTTTTGTAGTGATCAGACAACTTAACATACCAACTTCGTTACATTAGGCCTAGCTCTATAATTCAAACAACATACCATATTCATTACAAGAGTTCTCTGATCACTACAAAACCACATACCAGCTTCGTTACAATAGGCCTAGCTCTACAATTCATGCAAAATACCACATTCGTTACACGAGATGTCTGATCACTACAAAACAACATGCCAGCTTCGTTCCAATAGGCCTATTTTAAAGTTACTTAGTCACGTAATTTTGACATTTCTTACTTGCTTATGTGTCATACAATAATACCTTAGTCAATTTTAGTGAATATGTTGGTTGACCTAACATTTTACTGTGATAAACACTACATATCTTGTTGATAAAAACCTCCAAATTAACCATTTAACTAAGATAAAACTAAGGTTTTCATATCGACCACGACTTTAGGACTCTTTGATTAATGCCAGAGGATGCTCCTATTTTGATTTGTTAATGGCTTCCTTATTTTATATTTTTATATTGTTTTTGGTTTGAACATCAAGTTTCATTCCATAGCCCAGAAGATGTTTCTGGCAACATGTATGTTTATTAACTTCACATATATCACACATCTTGTATTCCTCAACGTTTTCAACCAGTTTGTAGTCTTAACTGTGGCTCAGTAAGTTCTGTTGAAAGCCTATTGTGTCATGTATGTGTAATAAGTTTTTTATGTGATATCTTTTATATAATTTTCATAAGTCAAACTTGCCGACATTATCGTGTGTAGGGATGGCCAAGGTACGCAATAAACATGATACAAATATGCTAAAACATCAACAATGACAGATAGTTTTACTTTAAAAAGTGATTACTACTCACTTTCAGTTGTTTCTCTATCCAAGGAAGAAACCATCGCTAAGATACCAAACTTGAAAGTTACCAACCTATCAAATTGTTCATCTTTCTTTTTATTGCAGTCCAGATAACTCTACAAGTACTTTATCATTAGCTTCAGTTTAAGCCTAAATTCACTCTATATGTTTCTGGGCAGTGCACGATGTCATCGCATAGTCGTAATAGCTAGTAGTAGTTTTGAAAAAATCATAATTCTAGTGTAAACGATGTTATCACTACCCCTTGAAGTTAGCTATTTTACAAATATCTGGTGTTCCTTTAAAAATCTTATGTACAGCGTGAAACAGAAATTACCAGCCAATAATAAATGAACATGTATAATACTCAATGCCTTGTACACTATACAATCGGTGTCTTTAGGAAGCCAACCCCTATATTATGTATGAAGTGAAGGCGTAAAAAATCAGTACACATAATATTAAATTTCATTACTCAAATTTATAGAATACACTAACTTTCAGTCAGGGGAAAAAACGTCACAAAGCATGTAATAAACATTTTGTAAATGTAAAATTATGTGGGGACTGGAATGCCAGAAAGAACGCAAACAAGAATAAGGAGCGATACAGTTATACATAGGTTATCTGTACATGACTTTCAATTTTAAACTTTAATGTTAAACTGTAAGATTCATACTTGATATTAATATTGCGCAGTTGAAGATTATATATTCCTGACTGTTGGTATACAGTTTGTTTATCATAATATCATGGTTATGTCGGGGTAGGAATCATTGTAGTGTAACTAAAACCCAAGGACTTACGTACAAGGAATACCTAGTTGAGTCAAAACATGTTTTTATTATTATATACTCTCGCTACGAGGTCGGTCGAATTGACCGATCATGTAATAATTTTGTACTCGTGTATTTTACAGTGTAACGTTAAATTTTAATAATTGAAAGTCATGTAGGGATGACCTGTGTACAGCTGTATCATCCTTATATTCTTGTTCGCATTTACAAAACGTTTTTTTAAGAACATAAATAATATGTTTAGACATATATCTAAGAATCGTTTTATGAGGTTTTACCAACCTTGTAATAAACTTTCACACGAAGAGGAGGAGTTTTCAGGAATTGAAGTCATAGGGTATTTCGTCATCACCAATGGTTCTTTCATTTCTTTGAGCTCAAGCATTAATCCCTGCAGTTCAGTAGATTTCTGGAAAACGAAAAAATCAATCAGTTAGATTAATATATTTTTTAAATCATCAAACACAGTTTAGTAACGCTTAGTAAGAAAAATCACATTAAAAACGCTTATATCCAGGATATTTAGATGTTAAATCACTGGAAACATTAATGTGTTAAATAAATTTTAAAATGTTTACCTGTCAGATATCTTTAGCACGTTTGTGTTAATTAAAGCACTTCAGGACTGTTGTCTATAACCACCACACGAAGAACTCCATGAAAACCTCGTTTGAGCTGTAACATTTTCTATATTTAAATTAAAACTCTACACAAATGATAAACTTCTACAGATCCTATAGGATACTGCTTAATTTCGTTTATAACACTGAATTAGTTAATTTCTTTGTCGGACTTCGTTCAAAGCTACTTGAGTTCTATCTGCTCTAGCCGTCACCACTTTATAAGTAATAGGAATAGCAGTTATTCAACACCATCTGTCGACAATTCTTGGACTACTCTTTACTAATGATTCACCTTCGCATTATAATGCCCCAGTGGCGGAAGGGGAGTGTTCCGTCATGGTACCCCTAGTCTGAGATTCGGGGTCCTTAACCAGAGGTCACGCCTGACCCTAACTAGGACAAGAGAGAAACACCCGGTGTTCGATTTTATTTTCGTCAAAGTTTCTTCAACTAGACATACATACGTTATCCAATCTATTTATTAATGAGCTAATAGAACTTCAAGTGTCTTAATCAAATTCCTGAAAAACATTTCGAAGTTCTAAAATTTAAAGTTGACGATTCTTTTGAACGTGGATAATTCTACTTTCAAATACCTCATTCAATATCTGTTTCTGTCTGTAGACCTGATTTTCTAGAGCTTTAATTCTATTGTGTACTTCGTCGTCGAAACCCCTGTCTGAACTCTTGAAGGGCTTCATCGTGGCTCGTGCTCTTTTATCTCCAGCATCAGTGTTACGTCGCAAATCTACAAGCTGAGGTCGGAAGAAACAAGAAGCAGTAAATATATTATTTTTATATAAAACTTTAAGCTATAACACGTATGATTATATATGTTCTATTTTCAAAACGAGACCCAAGACTCGAGCGCTTTCGAACAGTTGACTATTCTTCTTCGAGAGAACAAAGGGTTATGTTTAATGAGCGTGATGAAATATATTGGCTCGGATGTCGATATCACGTAAACCGGATCTTCAATATATTCAAACAAAAGGCACAGCTATGGGCATCAAGATGGCACCAAACTATGCCAAATTTTTTATGGAAGACTTCGTTATAGAAAATCGTTAACAGTTCTTATAACTGTTATCCCACATAAGTCTCTTATGAACTTTACTATGAACTTTGGAACAAAACGAAACCTGACACCAACAGGTTATGATTGGCTAGCGCTCAAGGCCAACTCATATTGAACATCCGGTTTATGTGACATAGACATCCGAGCCTATATAT